TCACTCTTTAGACCAGGCTGGCCTCATACTCACAGAGATCTACTTGCCTCTGTCTCCCCAGCACTGGGATTAAAAAAATGCACCACCACTGCCAACCAGTGGATAACTGTTCTTGTTAACTGACTGAAGTATGTCAATCTGGGACATGGTTTTTTTTTTTGTTTGTTTTGTTTTGTTTTGTTCTTAAAAGCTACAACCAGTGATCACAAATACCCGATGTAATTACTGGCTGGCTAATAAAGACTTTTAGTTGGTTTAAACTCAGATCCAAGTAGTCTACTCCAGTGAATACCCCACAATACCAGCACTCAAGAAGCTGAGGCAGGAGGATCTCTGACAAGCACAAGCCAGACAAACTAGCTACATAGCAAGACCCTGTCTTTTGAGATCTTTTTCATTTGAAGCCAATCTTAATGCCATTAAATGCACAAATATGCTAGTTTTTATTACCCAATTTTAATCTCCTAAAACACACAGTGCAAACATCTAAATATCAATTCTCTCCATACATCAGTGGCCATTCATCATGGTTTTGAATATGGGGAAATCGATTCCCCTTAAATTGCAAGTCAGTAGGTGTTTCTTTCTGGTTAACTTTAGCAAAATTCATACAAGAGTAATTAACAATGATCTTCACTTGTTAACTCACAAGGAAACACCTTCAAAACTTCATTTTTGTTAAAATATATGTACTAAAATGTAAAAGAAAGAAAGAAAGGAAAACAAACAAAAAACCAAAACCTGAACTACACAAATATTGAAAAGTTAATAATTTCTTAATTTTTTTATTCCTGGTATTATTCTCACAATTTACAGGGCAATATACCTGATTCAGTAAAAGAAAAAAAAAAGCTACTACAGAGTAAAAAAAAAAGAAAAATACTCAGAAACACTCAACTAATTGACAATGCATTGCATTAATCAATAGCTGCACCCTTTGCAAATTGTGTCTATGATGTCCTGAGAAGGGATTCTTGTTTAGGTTGCAGTGATGTTTCTAACTCCAGATCATTGTTCCTTCTGTGGCAGATTTTACAGTTCTTCTACTGCATTTGGACTGTCTCAGTAAACTGCAACTTTCCTGACAACTCCTTATTCTCTCTTGTTAAGAACCATGAATTTTTGGGGCTGTTTTTTAAAACCTGCTATCATATTCATCACGGCCAACCATATCCATAGTCACTGGCATAGATGACAGCCATTTCAGAGCGGTGAGCTGGCCTATCCGGAAAGATACTCAGAGTCACACCTAACAACCTGAGTTTTGTCTCAGGAACTCATTGCTAGAACACACGTGTATTCTTTCTCTCTCCCCCCCCCATCTCCCTTTCCCTCTCTCCCTCTCTCTTTTTCCTCTCCTCTCCTTCTCTCTGTCTCTCTGTCTCTGTCTCTGTCTCTCTCTCTCTCACACACACACACACACACACAAACACACACACGCGCACGTGTACGCGCGCGCTAAATAAATGAAGCAAAATTCACATCAGCAACTCTGATTGCTTTATTGTGTCCATTACTAGAGAAAGTAAAGCATACGTTAAATCTCCACATGTCGATGCTATTCTAGCTGACTAGCAGCCCCTTGAGTGCTATCAACTCCAAGTGGGCAAGCAGCTGAAGATACATCTGGGGCCAGAAGAATCCCAAAGTCAAACATTTGCATATGTACTGCCTCCTTGCTGTCCAATCCAACAAGAAAGGCACATTTAAAAGATGGTATTTCAAAGACATGGACAGTCTTAGCTGCAATTTTTGGAAGGGTTACAGGATAGCATGACACGATGAACGCCACATTTGAAGATGTGCAGCTATGCAAGGTGGTAGTGTGTCTTGACAAACAGCTTAATAATGTGTTGTTCAGATTAAAAACCTCATGGCAAGGTGGAAAATTAAATATCTCCTTCTGAATCATTAAATCAAAGCAAAGCCCTAGTGTTAGAAGATATCTGACTGTTGTTGTGTAAAATTACCCCAGGAGCCTACGTAAGAGATTTGTACTTAATAAGTTTCTCAAAATTGTTGTTAGCCTCTGTGCTGAGGGATTACTGAGTTACATAATGAGCCAACCAACTGCTGGGTATCTCTCTCTCTCTCTCTCTCTCTCTCTCTCTCTCTCTCTCTCTCTCTCTGTGTGTGTGTGTGTGTGTGTGTGTGTGTTGTTCAAGTTTACACAAAATTATTTTTGTTATCTCAAATGTCAGTTTGGGGCTGGGAACATAGCTCAGTTGATAGAGTGTTTGCCTGCTATACAAGAAATATGCATGAAGTACTTCAGTACAATAGTATCATGTGCTGTAGTATATGCCTGTAATTACATACCTGTAATTACAGTATTTGGGGTCTTAGAAGAGAATGTTGAGACGTTCATGGTCACTCTCCACTGCATAGTGAGTTCAAGGCCAGCCTGGTATACAAGAGACCCAGTCTCAAAAGTCCAATACAATGTCAGTTTTCCTAAGTAGCTTTTCAACCAAGGAGAGATGATGGGTCTGCAGTCTCTACTCTTTTAATGCATAATTTCTTTCCCTTTTGAAGACTGCATCTCACTATGTAACTCAGGCTAGCCTCGAACTTATAGTTCTCCTACTTCTGCCTCCCAAATGATTTGTTTTCTTGTTCTAACATTTTGTAATTGTCCAAAGAGTAGTTCTATAAGATATTAGCAGGTGTTTCCTCCCAAGCAGAATCTGTGATGAAATCCATTGGGAAATTGATCAGAGTTAATGTTTCTTCCAATGTACAACTCTGTGGAATCTTTGATATGCTGGTGTTTTCAGTGAATCTGTTAGAAGAAGAAATAATATATAGCATTTCCCTTATCCACTGTGACATAGTGCTCACCACATGTGTGTTACCTGACATGATTATCATAGTGTTTGCTTAATTCTAGCAAATTGTTCCCTGATTGGTGGCTTACTGTAACAAACACTGATTATTTCTCGGTGTCTGTGAGTTAGGAGTACAGCTTAACCAGGCCTCCTGCTCAGGGCCTCTCATGGCAAGGGTCAGCTGGAAATTAGTCATTCAAAGCTGGACTGAGGAAAGAGTTCCTTCCAAGCTCATGCAAGTGGTGCTGAGGCAGCTCTGAGCCCCTTGTCTGATACCTGTAGGGCAATCTAGCAAGTTAATCAGAATGGAGAAAGGAGGTCATGGGAGCCTGGCTCATTTGCTCAGTCAGAGACTCCGAATCTAATCTGGCCAACTTCAGGGAATAAAACTTTCAAAACTGTGGGTCCAAATCTTTCTCTTTATATGTTATCTCAGATACATGTTACAGTGGCAGAAAGCTGATTAGCATAGCCTATGCACCAACTCCAGGCAGACAGTGTCAGGAGCAGACCAGATAGTAAGAGCCCTGTTGGGAGCCATTGGAGGATTTGTAGAGAGATAGCTCCCACTTTGGTGAACAGAATGAAGTGTTGCATCCAGCAAGTGTGTAAGTAGAAAGGGAAAGCTGATGTGTTTTTCTTGTTTCTTTTTCTTTTTTTTTCTTTTTTTTTGAAACCATACTGGGATGAAGAGATGAACTGGCTGGCCACCAGCCAGTCTATAGGAGTATGCCACCATAACCGGACCCACACAGTAATCTTTGTTAGTGTTATTAGTTGCCAGAGAGGTGAATGCATTTGGCACATTTGCAGCTCATGCATGCAAACTGAGAAGTGCTTCAGTTAGTGTCTGAAATGCAGTTTCTTCAAAAGCATCTTTTAAAGAGGTTGTCTACAGATTCCAGGAAAGAACTGCAGCACATGAAGATGTGAAAAAACGGAAAAGAAACATAATTGAGCACAAGTTCATTTACCCATATCTGGAGCTTAATTTAATGTGAATATAAGCTAGTGTATATATTTATATTAAATATGCAAGAAATAATAGGTAATGAAGTGATGGGATGTCTTGAGGAAATCTGTGCACTGAAGCACCATTGATTATATATATATATATAATTATATGTATATATGATAATTCCTGGGACTGAGGATGTAGTTCAGTAGGTAAAGTGCTTGGCCAGCATGCGTGAAATCCTGATTTTATCCGTAGTACCGCCATTTAAACTGGTGTGGTGTCACACACTTGTAACCCCAGTTCTGGAAGGTGTAGGCAAGTGGGTAGAGTTAAAACCAACACAGTGAGTTGGAGGCCAGGCTGAGCTATTTAGATACACACACACACACACACACACACACACACACAGAGAGGGGGGAGGGGAAACAAAGATAAATTAAAATTAAGGAAAAACAGTACTTGTGCTGGTATCTTAAATGCTAGTTATGCTTACTGGTTTAAAGCTACACAATCAAAGCAAGAGGTAACTGTACTAACATTTTTTTGTATTTCCTTCACTCCTATTTTTCTCCCCCTAAAATTTGTGTTTTTAGAACACAATTTCCGAGGCTCCTCAACACCACAGACATCAAGTTTCTGAAGACAGAATGCCACAGGCAGGCCGTGCACACCACTGCTTGAACTGAGTCAACATGCACACAGACGGTGCCAGGAAACTGTTCCGATACTTCGAGCACTGTTTATAAGCATAACGCCAGTACTTCCCAAAAGATAAACATTTAGCAATGCGTCGTAATTATTCACCTTAGTCATAAAATCATAGCATATGAAATCTTAGAACCACAGACTACTTACTGGAGAGTCTTAGTCTCTTCTTTATTAGCCTCTTCCCACATCTTTGGACTCCGGAGTAGAAAATAGAATGAGAAGAGACGGGGGTGGGAGGGGGTGGGGGGGCGGCAGGAGGCGTGTGTGTGTGTGTGTGTGTGTGTGTATGTGTGTAATTGGTATGAGCCAATCTGGGGTCGTGTGAAATATTAGTATTTTCCAAAGTGCTGGCGCACTCTAGAGTTCTTTGGAGGAGAGAGAGGGAAGTTGCCACCGACCAACTCAAACCTGACCCTGACAGAGGTCTCCAAGGCTATAGAGTGCTGCTCAAAGTTTTTTCCAGAAGCCCCAAGGAAAAGATATCTCCAAGTAGGCAAGGGCTTTACCTCCCAGAGGGGTCAAGGGCTGAGCACGGTGGCCGGGCAGCAGTCTCCTCTCCACACTGTGCAGGAAAGGAGGGCAGTTCCAGCATCAGCCTGGGGAGGTAGGTGGGGCACTGGCGCCCTCATCTCCATAGGGAAGACAACACAGGCTGCCACCACGCCCCACAGGCCCTGTGTCCCTTGCTCAGTGCTATGCTCTAGTGGCCAACCTCTGTCTTTGCTGCAGGAGACTCATACACCCCTGTCGTTACCTTCCCTCGGTTTTCTCAAATTCTAGGTGGGTTTCTTTTGTAGTTGCTGTTGGAGCTCGAGGGTCTAGCAAGTCGCTGGGAAGAGGTGACAAACGCAAAGCTGCTGTCTGTCAAATTTTTCTTAGCTTTACATAAGCCAGCATTTTTTAAGTCCTGAGATGGGAAAGGTAACATTTTTTACCCTTTCTCATGTTCATCTTTAGCAAATCCTCAGAAATTTTGAAAGTCTTATTTAAACACTATTTTACAGAAGAGTTAGAAAGATGTAACATCAACATTTTCTAATTGCTTTGGTCAAAACGCCTGAACAGGTTTATTGTGAAGCCTCCCTCTTCCTACTTCTTTTGTATTTAACATGGAAAGAATTTACAATACTGGGAGTATGGGAAAGTTAAAAATACTATGAATAGTGAGGCTAAAGAAGATCCAAGGATGAGGCCTGAACAGAGACACAACTAAGTTAAAATAGCTTGTTCTTACAGTAGGCATTAGGAGGACATCTGTAACTCAGTAAAATACAATGATTTTGCAACATCTATGTTGTAAGAGTGGCTAGGCATCAAAGAAAATTAAAATTGATGTTCTATCTTATGTCAGAATGGCTATCACTAGGCCTATAAATGCTAAGAAGTGTATCAGGGAAGGGGAATCGTTATCCACGGTTGGTGGAAATGTAAATTGGTGCAGCCACTATGGAAATCCACATGGAGGTGTCTCCAAAGGCTAAAATTATAACTATTGTAAGACCTAGTTGTACCACTTCTGGGCATATACCCAAAGGATTTTATAGCCTACCACAGGGGTTCCTTCTACTCTACTGACATCAACTAGGAAATGGAATTATCCTAGACACACGATGGCAGTTTATGTAGATGTTAAGAAAAGGAAATCCTGATATTTTTCTGGCAAATGGACGAAACTGAATAAAAGGATACTGAGGTAACCCAGGCCCAGAGCACAATATGACTCTCTCCTGTGTAGATCCTAGCTTCAAAATTCTAGATGTGTGTGTTTTATTTGAGGTCAGAAACTAGAAACAGCCATATAGGAGCTGGGAGGTCTTAAGGGGCTAAACACAGAACAAGTGTGATACAGAAGTGTGTGTGGGGGGAGTGTTGTTAGAACATGGTTAAGCAGGAATGAGGGTTGTGGTGTGTGGGCATTAAACACAACCAAGAATGTATGAAAAGGCCTTATGCTTTGTATGGTTATTTAAAAATAGTTTTAAAAGGAGTTCGAACAGTGGTATCTTCAATGAGTAGACAATGTTCTCCCAGAATACAGGGTTTTTTACATGAAAATCTCAGTGTTGTTTATGGGATACCTCCCTATATGAGTTACTGGTCAGAAAGGACCCAGAGGGACCCCAAATAACTCATTATCATTGTATTTAGTTGCTCACCATAGCTAAAAGGTAGGACCCTACTGATGAACACAAAAAGAAGTCAGATTGGAATTGACCTGGAACCTGTCTAGTTTTTACAGTGCTATAGAAAAGTTTACAGAAGTTTACAGACTTACCCAGTGGTGAGTCCTACATACTATGATACTACCCTGACAAGCAAGATGTGCCCACTGGTGCAATAATTGCATGGCTATTACGAGGTAACCGACTGCTTTTGGCTTGGATCTGAAGCCTGCTCCAAAGCAGGGAATTCATGTCTGGTACTATAAACCTGGTAAAAAGCCCATGGCTGGAGATGTCATAATAGGGGAGTACCTACTATTACCAATTACTTTCTAAATACTTATGTTTATATACATGGATACTTCTCCTAACCCTGGTCAGAGAAGCTTCGGTGGCAGTAATCTCATAAAAGTGTTAAGTGTTAAGAGTTAAAGTGTTAAGAGTTAAGTGACTGTCAAGTATTCAGCCTAAATAAGCCATTTATATCAACTCCCCAAAGGTCAGGAACCATCCTGAAAAGAGAAGCAGAAAGAATGTAAAAGCCAGAGGATGGGAAGACTGCTGTGAGATGCTGTTTTCCAGACGTGACATGGGCATTGCACTAAGCTCACAGCACTATGGCTACCTACAGAAGATCAAACCAGTCAACACCTCCCCACCCCCCGGGGATTAGAGAGCAGCTAGTAAGACATCGCCCCTAACTGAAGAGCTATTCACAAGTGATGGTTCTTGGGGGAGTGGGAGTCATCATTCTTTGCGGGTGTGGCTACTTGGAGGCTGACCACGGATGGCTCCACATCCAGGCACACATAAGCAGCACTAAGCAGACCCAGTGAATTATAAAAATAAAATAGGATATGAAGGTGGGAGGGGGAAGAACTAGGGTTTAGGAAGAATGGAAGGAGGGAGTTGTGGGGGTACTTTGATCAAGACACATTGTATACATATAAAATCGTCAAGAATTTTTTTAAAAATCTATTTAAAAAGGTGGCTGGTGTAGTTCAGTGATAGTGTTTGCTTAGCACTTGTGAGTCATGGGTGTGATTCTCATCAAGCAAGGAGGAAATCGTATCTGCTGAGCTTCCTCAGTAGCAGATGCATGCTACGCATCTTTTGTTACACTATGTGCTTCTATTACTCCTCATGCCACCACTACCTGCTGGTAATTCCTTATGGACTCCACTGAAATTGAAAGCTGAACCCAACCTGAGTAAATGCACAGTGGAAGGCTAATGGGAAGAACGGAGAACCAAGTCAAGGGCTGCCTTTAAAGCTATGGACTTTCGTTAAATATGCGGAAGGTATGGAATTCACAGAGATGGCACAAGATCCTCATATTTTATTCACAGTTTGCTTTGGAGGACTGAACCCTTGTTTCCAGATTGAGAACTACTAGGTCTTCCAAAGAGACAACAGAGACAATCATTTAAAACAATCACTTTATTAAAAATAGCAAATCTCACAAGTACTTATGAAACGTTTGTCACTGGCCATTAGGAAACACATCTGGGTGTGTACTGATTGTCTGACGTAAACAGAAGCTGGACGACCACAGGACACCTGTGCACCACCAACGTGAGACTGGCACTGAGCCAGTGTGGTGAAGGCAAGGACAAATCCTTCAGCCTGACTGAATGTTTAGCACAATGCATTTCAAGTATAACCCTTAAGGCAACAGAAGCAAGCACAGCAGCACAACCCTGTATCCCACTTCCTGGGGAGAGCTCCCCAGCGGTGGATTACAGCAGCACATGGACTGAAGCGGCGTGTGAACATGATCACTGCACTTGCATTGCATGACTCAAGAGTTTTTTGTGGAAGATGATTCTGCTACTGGACTCAGCTGGAAACATAATGGCTGCTGCTCCTCTGCACATCCCGCAGAGCAGGCTGCAGACTACTTTAGCTGCTGTATGCATTGGGAACGTCCTGTGCATCTGCCAAATGAAGTTTCTGTCTGGAGTCATCAGCTAAGAAGATTTTCATTTTAAAGCAAGGACTTCTTGTAAATTTCAGGAATTTACACTTAGTAACCAGGAAACACAAGAAATGGGGTAAGCGCCAGGCTGTGGTGGTGCATGCCTTTAATCCCAGCACTTGGGAGGCAGAGGCAGGCAGATTTCTGAGTTCGAGGCTGGCCTGGTCTACAGAGTGAGTTCCAGGACAGCCAGGGCTACACAGAGAAACCCTGTCTCAAAAAACAAAACAAAACAAAACGAATGGGGTAAGTGACAGAGGGGAGGACAGAGGGAGATCTGAAGAGGCTTAGTGAAAGCTGTGGTGTCACCAACATGTTTGGACAGGAGCTCACTGTAGAGAATTATGCGATGTGTATAATTTGAAGCTTAAAAACATTTATAGTCTCAAATTCTAAATCCTCCTGCCTCAGCCCCCATTGCTGGGGTTATAGGAGTGTAGCATCAGGCCTGTCCAGGTTTATTTTTAATACAGCAATAATCATTTCCATGACAAGGAAGCAGTGGAAGGAAAACATTAAAAGACTAATTGGATTACAACCCCTTAAAGATGCTATTTTGCCATGTTTCTTTTTGAAAATTCTTTTTGACAATTTCTTTTTGAAACCCAAACATGAAGCAATGCTTACAACTCTAAAATCTTTTCTATAATCTTAATCATCCCTTTCATTTTCCTTAGTCCTAAACTGTTCAGCTGTTGCCACCTTTCAAGGTCCTATTCACACAGTGATCTGAGTACTCTGAGGACAACTGCACATCAGCAGTACGGATGTACAGACAGACAGACAGACAGAGGCATGGCCATCCAAAGTACTGTCTAGTTGAGAGGCTTGAGATTTAACACATGGGAAAAAAAATCACTGGACAGTAAAGTAAGGTAGAAGAAGCTGAAGGGGAGGACAATCCGATAGGAAACCAGCAGTCTCAACTAATCTGAACCCCAGGGAGCTCCCAGACACTGAGCCACCAACCAGGCAGCATACAGGAACTGGTCCAAGGCCCTGCCACATGTACAGCAGAAGACTGCCTGGTCTGGTCTCAGTGAGAGATGACACACATAACCCTCTGGAGACTTGAGGCCTGTTGGTGAGAAAGTGTCCTCTTAGAGGCGGTGGTAGGAGTGGAGAAGGAATGGGATGGGGGGGGGGACAACGGCTGGATGGTGATAGATAGATAGATGGATAGATAGATAGATAGATAGAAGATAGATAGATAGAAGATAGATAGGATGGCATGTGTAATTCATACTCATGCCCAAGTTCAAAGCAGCAGCACAGACTTAATTGTTGTTACTGCACGGCTAAGCAATTAGTCACAGTATAAAACGTTACAGCAGGATTCTGACTTGCTGCTATTCTAACTTCTGTATATTCTATCTAGTTTAGAAATTTCCTCATACATACCACTACAGAAAGCAGTGTGTATTACAGAAGCCCCTTAAGGATGTTAATGAATGTATGAAATGTCACATTATTAATGTGTAAAAGTACATTACAAAAGTCCTATCTCACACCATTATTGTATGCAAAGGGAGAGTTTCCCTCTCATATGAAAGAAAGCATGTTGAAGGTAGGATCATTTCATATGATTCTTATGTATTAGCAATCGTGTTTATAAACATGTTAAAAAAAAGGTTGAAAAGTTCCCTAAGTCATTGTTTCAGACTGAAATATTGAAATCAAAATCACCTACTTGTGAGATGGTGTTTTCTTTCAAGTTAACTCTACAGTGTGCTAGCTTCAAAGTTGCTAGTTTAAAAGTTGTGTTTTACTGGTACCTGAATTTCAATTTTATATTCCTTAGGTAATAATACCTGCCAGATAGTTACAGAATCTCAGAATCAAAATAATTCTTGTAGTCTACTACATAATATTTATGACTTGAAGAGTAACAATTAAATTTGTTTTGAAAAATATGAAAACAATATAAAACAAAAAACAAAGAGGACATGGAATTTCAGCATACACAGCCTTGAAACGAAACAATCTGGAAACTAAAGGGAAGAGACATAGCCCTAGTGAATAAATAAAATACAGTAGGAATTATTTACCCAAAAAAATAGATTTTGAATTTACACTGTTGATAGTTGGCAAAGGATACATAGAAGAATTCAATTCTTCTAACTGAAACACAAAGAAATTGAATATTAATTTTTACAAGAGAAATATTAGTAGCTCATTGTAAACCATGTTTTAAAAGAGCTTCATGTAGGTTTTAACTGAAAGAGCAAACTATTAAAGAAAATCTTCTCAAAAAGTTTTCTAGGATAGGAAATCCTTTTTACAAAATAATTGTAAAGTCACTGCAGTTTGACCGTGAGGAGAGAACAGAAGCAAATGATACAGACTAGGAGCTTTAGAAGTATTCTTAGAATCATGTATAATGACGATAATCTCCACTGTGTATCTGTTGTTTCTTTTTGAAAGAGAATCTGGATACATGAACTCTATGTAGCCCAGGATAGTCATAACTCATGATTCTTTTGATTCGGCCTACAGAGTGCGATGTTCACAGATATGTGTCTCTATGTTCTTTTAACAGAAATGTCATCCTTACTGTGTGTACTGTGTTGCCTGTCTGTGAAGACAGTACACACGTGGGGGACAGAATATAACCTTGTGGAGTTGGTTATATCCTCCTGCTCTCACATGAGCTATAGGAATTGTATTCAGGTCCAAACGTCACCAGGCTTACCCTGCAAGCACTCTTACTTTCTCAGCCATCTTGCTGGACTCATGTCTAGCTTTTAAAGAATAGTTTGGTTTTTGTTTTTTTTTAAACAAAAATGCCATTTCCATGATTATAATCTTTAAAATTTTTATGATTTACAAAAATACTTCACAAATCGTTCAATTAACATTATAAAATAGAATTTTTTTCCTCTTGTCTTTGTCTATTTGGGTTCTTAGAACAAAATATCATTATATTAGTGGTTTGCAGAAAAAAAGAAACTCATTTCTCCAGTTCTAGAGAACAGCCGTCCAAGACGAAGATGCCAAAGGAGCTGGTGTCTGGCTCACAGAACAGCACTCTGCACTGTGTCCTCACAGAATGGAAACAGAGGGGTGTCTCTTTTCAGCCTCTTTTTCTAGGACATTTAATTCCACTCCTGACCTAGTCACCTTCCACAGAGCCATCTCCTGTTGCCCCACCTTCAGAGTGAGGACTTAAAAGTGCAAGTTCTAGAAGGATATAGACATTCAGACCACACTACCTTTAATTTTAGACGGAGAAATACAAAGTAAAGACATGCTCATTGGGACTGTAGTTTCAATGGTGGAGTGCTTGCCCAGCATCCATAAGGCCCTTGGCTCAATCTCCAGTACCTCAAAACCATTTAAAAAGAAAGGATGGTAGGGGGTATGTTAACTAGACTGCTCACTGTTATTAAGTACAACTGATTTAGTTATTTTAGTTATTTTCCCAAATGCTCTAAAGGTACACAAATTAAACTTATATTTAAGAAAAATTGAACGTAAGCCATGAACTTAATACTTGTGAGATCAAAAAATGTATGGCAGAGTTGACTAATCTTTAAAGTACAGGCTTGAAGGGCTTTTTGTCTGTTTTTTGAGATAGGGCCCATATAGCCCAGGCTAGCCTTGAACTCACCTTGTAGGTGAGGCTGACCTTGAACTCCTGTTCCTCCTACATCCACTTCCCAAATGCTGGGATTACAAGACCACACGGCTAATCTTCTAGGAGTGAAATTTTTAAAGTGTGGGCCGACAATTGCCTTATATATACTTTTTCAAAAAAAAAAAAAAAAAGCAAAAGAGAAAAAGAAAAATTGCAGAAACAAGCTCTTTTGTCTCTGGTGAACATGAAGCTAAAATACGTTAGGGTCAGTTTTTATTTATTCTCTTTTGTTCTATAAAAATGTCTGTGTAGCCATAAGTTGCTGTGGACTTGCACATAAGGAGGCCAGAGGTCACTGCTGGGTGTCCTCCACCTTATTTCTTTGAGACAGAATCTCTCACCAAACTTGAAGCTCACAAATTCAGCAAGAAAGGGCGGCCTGTAATTCTCAGAGATCTTCTTGTCTCTGCTTCTCTAGTGTTGAGATTACAGGCACTTTACACACAGGTGCCGAGGATCTGAACTCCGGCCCTCATGCCGGTGTGGCAAGAACTCTACCAACTGAGCCATCTCCCTAGCTCCCTAAGGCTTTAGATATTTATTTTTATTTTACGGGTATGTGTGTTTGCCCAAATGTAAGCATGTGCACTGCATGTGTGCCTGGTGCCCTCCGAGGCCAGAGAGGGCTTCAGATCCCTGGAACTGAAGTTAGAGAGGGTCGAGGGCCATCAAGTGGGTGCTGGAAACAGAATCTGGGTCTTCTGCAAGAGCGGCAAGTACTTTTAGATGCTGAGTCAGCTTTTCAGCCCCCTAAAAAAAGGTTTTAAAGAGGCAAATTGACAAGATGTTATGGGCTGGTTGGTGCCCCAACTCCATCCCCAACTTATATGCTTTAGTTCCCAGTCATAACATGTCAGAATGTTCAGAGTCTTTAAAAGAGACAACGGAATTAAAATGAGGTCACTGGGGTGGTCCCTAAACCAATATGACCTTAACATGACATGTTGGACAGATGTACACAGGAAAAAAATTAAATGAGCATTAAGATGACTACCTGCAATGAAGAACTTAGGCAACTTAGCTGAGCTCCCATTCTGGCTCCCATAATTGGGAGAACTTTCTATTGTTTAAACCCCCATGTGTTGTGCTTTGTTATGGTGGCTCTAGCAGACTGAAAGATGTGGCAATGTTCTAAACTGCTGTAAAGACCAAACACTGGTCTGGATTTAAAAATAAACAACCATCTAGGCAGGCAAGCGTCTTTTGACTAGTGGCTTCTGTGTACTTAAGATCTGCATATACATGAGGTCTCTGTATAATATAGGCACATACATAAAAATATTCAGAAGTAAGTATTTCCTTTAGAAGTTTACCAGGATTATGATAATATATGCTCCCAATAAATCTAAATTCACACATTTTCTTAGACTGTATTTCTTTAAAGAGAATCAAATACATCAGAGATGAAATGTGAGGATACCACACTAAGTAGGAGACCCTCCCACCCCTACCCTGTGGACACACACTTTACAATGTCATCTGCAGGAAGTGCCCATGGAGCCCAGCTCATCAAGACAGCAAGAAACTGAGCATGAGCTTCTTTAAGGGATGATGGCATGTTCTACAATTAGATAGTGGTGATGACTGCAATTTGTATAAACAAATCACTGATAGTTAAAATGTGAACTATGGTATGTGTGTGTTGTTTCATGAAGGCGTTTCTTTAATGATAGATGGAGCACCCCACTCACGTCAGACCGAAGCCTGTCCAGGTTTGCGTCACTGGCTGCTTTCTGCTTTTCCTCAGGAAGTTCCTCTAACTCCCCGTAGACCTCCAAGTTCAAGCGAGCTAATTTCTCCTGCATTCCCCAAACATGTTCCATCTGTTCTATGGAACATTCATTTCCTGGGGAACATTCCAGAACATTAAAAAAGATTAGTGTTGAAGCCTACAACCTCAAGGAACAGCTTTTAAACTCCAGGTGCACAAAAGAAATCCATTTTCTTTGTTTAGAAATTGGCTTGTTAATAATAACTATTTTCTGTATATAACTATAATTCTTTTTACTTATCTTTTGACTTTATTTTTTTGAGACAGGGTATGAAAGCTAGTTCAAACTCATAATCTTCCTATCTTGGCCTCTTGACTCTTGAAAGCAGATACAATTTTTGGCCAGGAAAAAAATGACCAATCTGAAAAATGATCCTGGGGCTTAAAATAAAATTGTGTATAAAATACCTTTTTTTTAAGCAAAATAATTTCTCTAGTAGGGAAGATGTACTTTTTCTTCCACTGTAACATTGTATACAGAAGCAAGAGCACCATAATTATGTCCATTTTGACAACTGCCCACTGAACTGAGAAAGCCAACACTTTGTAGTATTCTGAGTAAAGTGTAGAATTCTCTAAGAATTTCAACCACAAATTATTTTTCCAACCAATTATGAATTCTTCCTTTAGGAAATATAAATGCAAATATTTATGAAGCATGATGTATTACATTACACAGTTAATATTTTCAATAATATACATGGTAATGCAAGGCAACTTCACTAAGGCACAAGTCCCATTATTTCTTAACTTAGGTCCAGTGTGGTGAGATTTTGCCTGCTCAGACAACTATCGCATGTATATATACATAACATAGTCTACACCTTCATCTAGTTCAAGTACAGCCTCTGCAACATCTTGGTATTCCAATTAAAAAAACAAAACAAAATGAACTTTCCTTTTTTTTCTAAATATATTGCAAGAATATACTATTAATTAAGCTAAAGCTGAAATGCATTCAGGTATGTCATAGATGTGTATATCAGCATCTGGAATCCTGAAGAGGCGTATGTTCATGTGGAGAGAGGAAGGGAAGAGGGGAGAAGAAAGTGGGGAAGGAGAGGAAAGAGAGGGAGAGAGAGAATGAATGAGAACGTAAATGAATACAGAGATACAGACCTGACAGAGGGAAATTGAGAGGAAGACATACATTGGGGGCCAGTCATGCTTTATAAGACAAAAAGAACATGTGTAGGAGGAAAGATGAGTTAGCAGTTAAAAAAGGCTTAGTGATTCCCTGCTGGGATCTCTGAGAAAAGTCCTACTATAAATGCCCACACCTTACAGGTGAAGTGGCAGTGTGGACTCACAGCCATTAAAATGGGAAAAAAATAATGATCTAGTAAGAAAGAAATAGCCTAGCAATGGAATTTTCATGGCATCCCTTACAGCCAGGTCTTAGTGACTGCACAGACAGGGGAGGAAGGACTTCAATCAAATAAACCCCTGACCTTAAGGGAAGGGGATTGCCACTAGAAAGAGTGAGCAGGGCAGAAGGGAAGAAGTGAAGTATTCTGGGATACCATGTTGTTGGGGTTGGGTGGAGCATAAGGGGAGAGAACATTTTCTTTGAAGAAAATAATACACCATTTTTGGAGTCGGGGGCTCCTATATAATCCAACCTGGTCTAGAATTCTTGATTCTCCTGCCTTAGCCTCCCCATTACTGGGAGTCTGTCTTCCTTGTCAAACGTTAAGTATTCCTATGGACTAAAGACTCAGAAACCATGAAAGAAGAAAGATGTAAGTGCACAAAACCCAACAATCCCACAGGATTAAATGTATTATCACAAAATCAACAGACATAAATGTATTTGGAAAAGTAAGTTTTGAAAATGTATTGTTTCCACGTAAAACATGCAAAGGGCTCTTGACAATGACAAAGTAAGAAATTATCAAACTAAAAACTATGTAAAGGCCCTGAAGAGAGCAATCAACTACTTAGCAAGTAGACATGGCATGGTTTGATGGTCATTTTAAAATTTTCACTTGACTGGCAAAAATTGAAAGAATGCCTACTGCTGATGGGACCTCAATGAAAAGCATTCTTTCATAAACTTCCAATAAAAGAAGAAACTGTATTTTTTTGGGGGGGAAGAATCCTAGATACTTCTATTAAAAATAAAACTAGAGCTGGGTGAAGTGACCCACTCCTCTAGTTCAGCACTTGGAATGTGGAGCCAGATCAGGAATCCAGGAGCAGCCTCTGCTACGTAATGAGTTTGAAGCCTACAATACATGGGGCCCGACCTCAAAAAACAAAGCAAGTGGGCTGAGAATGTAACTCAGTTGGCAGAACGCTTGTCTAGCAGTGACAAAGACCAGAGTTCAGTCTCCAGCCCCATATAAACAGGGTGTCATAGCATGTGCCTGTAATCTTAGCAGGTGGAGGCTGGTGGCAACAGGAAAATAAGAAGTTCAAGGTCATCTTCAACTACTCAGTGGGTTTGAAGCCAGCCTGAGATACACAAGGCCTTGTCTCAAAATGGGAAAAAATTCCCAGTACATGGGAAACTAAGGCCAAGGAGCATGAACTCTAGGATAGCCAGGCTATATATGTAGAAGATCTTGCTTCAAAAATGCAAAAGCAAAGAGCATACTTTCAGGGACTGAATTGTCTATTGCTCTATATAGACAGAAATGTCTATAGTTCATTCAAAAGACAAAAACAAACTGAACAAACTAAGTCTAAATTCATTTGAATGATAAAGACTTCCCGTATTATTTTAAATAGATAAATTATACAATATGGTTTTATTTTTCAGAAGTGGATTAGGCTGCCTTCTAAAGAACAAAGGGGCATAGAAGACCATTCATAGGGGCATAGAACTTAATTTAAGTATGTCAGTATGGTTATTCCATTGCAGCAGCCCTACTTTAACATTACAGCTAACCATCCCTTGTGAATGTGTGCGCACATGTATGTGGTGTCATGTAGGATACAGGAACATACTTGTCCATGCTGGCATGCAGAAGCCAGAGGAGGACGTCAGGGTTCCTGTCCCATCACTTTCTACCTCATTCCTTTAAGGTCAGGTCTTTAAGTGAACCTGGACCAAGGCTGACAGCCAACAAGCCCCAGAAAGCTGCTTCCCATATCTCTGGGCTTAGAGGCAGGTCCATGCCCATGGCCAGCTTTTTACACAGCTGCTGGAATACAAACTCAGATCCTCATGGCTGTGCAGCAAACTGTCTTATGCACTAAGCCATGTCTCTGGCCCTAACAACTCCCTTAAAAAAACCCTCCCTCATTAATTATATTTCATCACAATAAAATCTAAAATTCTTACATTTTATGTTTATATATCGTATGCCTCCCTTTCTCCCTCTCACTCAGCACTCTGAAATGTGTGCTTGTTTTTGTTCTTTTTGTTTTTTTGTTGTCATTTTTGAGGCAGGTTTCGTGTAGCCCAGGTTGCCTCCAAAGTCATTATGTAGCAGACAATGTCTTTGAACTTCCTGGAACTCCCAAGTGGTAGGATTAGAGGTGTACACTACCATGCCTGGCTGTTATGCAATGTTGGGTGTTAAACCACGGATTTTGTAAGCACTACCAACTACAGCAAAGGTACACAACCAGTCCTTCCTGCTCTACTTGTTCTGCAGCAGTCTAGTGTAGACCAGAATGTCCTCAATCTCGCTTGTAGTTGAGGATGGATTAGAACTTCTCATCCTTCTGCTTCTACTTTCCAGATACTGGGATTACAGGCATAAATCACCACATCCAGCTTTCCTTTGCTTTTTACTAAAAGAAAAGGATACGTGGAAAGACCCTTTCTCAAACAACAAGGTAAGCAGTGCTGAGGAATGACACCAAGGTTGTCCTTGGCTTTCACACACAAGAACATACACAACTAAAAGCAGGATTTGCCATATGCAGAAGGTAGCATGCAGAGCAGTGAGGAGCACCCGGCTGTCTTACCAAATGCCTTCAGCTTTCCAGAATGGAAATCGTTCAGCAGGCTAAGGAGCCCGCGCTCCATCTCCTGGACATGAGGAAGGAGTGCTGGATGGGCGTGGACTGAGCACCCTTCCCTTCTCCTCCTGGAAGTTTGTTCTTTTCTTTCATCACCCTGCAGAGATGATGCAATTAGCCTTAGTTAGATCTCTCAGGTTGCTCTGGATTAGACTCCTGTTTAATTGCTCATATAAATAAATGAACTTTTTTTTGAAAATAAGAAATCAGAGGAAGTCAACACTAAATAAAACCTGAAACCTCAAGCCAGCAACAAACAAAAACAGGTGGTGAAAAAAAGTTTACCTATATAAAGTGTAGAAACATAAAGATGTTAGTATGTTTGTGCAATATACTAATTTGTTAGGTTGAAAAGATATTGAAAAGAAGATTGATAAGTCTTTCTGGTATCCTATTTTGTATTTTTCACTTCACAGTAAAATGCAGCATACACTCACCTTTATCAATGCCAGCCTTGAACTGTTTATAGTTGGGTGAGTTTTTTGGGGTTCCTGCTCTGAAGACAGCACCCTAGGAGTGCTTGCTCTTAGGGGAAAGACATTTAAAATCCATAATCAAGAACTTATCATCCCGAATTCTGCCACGGTCCTCAGGTCCCCTCATGCAGTTTTGAAGCTGACTGATACACTCTAACTTCCTGCCTGCTGCCATCATCCTGTCTCTTGACCATCATCTTCCAATACCTTCCCAGTTGACCCACCTGGTCCTATGTACGGTCCCTGGTCCCCTTTTCCTCTCCATGAGGCAGACAAGTCTATTTCTACACAATTCCAGGTCATATCATTTAAGCCTTCAAGAGCTAAGGCCTGCCTAAATCCAATACCCTTAAGAAACCCTAGTTTCTTTGGGTGTGATGGTTCAAACCTTTAATCCTGATACAGAGGAGGCAGTGATAAATGGATGAACAGCCTGATCTACATAACGTTTCTAAGGACAGTGAGGGCTACAAAGTGAGACCCTGTTTCAAATTAAACAAACAAACAAACACAAACAAACACTAGTCCCTAATCTCATTAGCCTCCTGGAAGTATATTTTCTGTCTTCTCATTCGAGTCCTGGGCCTACATCCAGATCCTTCACTTCCTGCCATCTTTGTCAGGCCACTGATCACAAAACCTTCAGGTCTTAGTTGAGGTGCTACTTCCCCAGAAGGGCATTTGTGAGCCCTTTGCTTGGTTCTTATCACACACCTCTGCATATACCAGGCTCTCAAACACTAGAGAGATGATGCCATGCAAATTCACATTATTATATAAAAACAGAGAGAGAGAGAGAGAGAGAGAGAGAGAGAGAGAGAGAGAGAGAGAGAAAGAGAGAGAGAGACAAGAGAAAAGTTCATGCAGGACGGAGTCAGCTAGGCTTTCAAAGGTGCTATCCAAGTAAGAGTTTAAAAAGCAAAAGGGATTGGCATTCTCTTTAACTAGTACTATAGAGGATTCGGTAGTCTACATACTTAGAACCAATACTCAATTTTCATATAACAATGAATAAAGACCCCATCCCTACAACCATACTCACAAGGATAAGATAAATAGGGAATGTACATCTTTTCGTGAGGGTATAGGAGTGAAAGCCCGTGGATGGGTTGGGGTAAAGAAAGAAACTAACAACAACTCTTAAGAAATCTAGACTTTAGGCTGTAGAGAAGGTTCAATGGTTAAGAGCACTATCTGTTCTTTTAGAGGACCCAAGTTCAATTTGCAGCATCCACATGACAGCTCAAAACTGTAACTCTAGTTCCAAGGGACTCAATATCCTCTTCTGATCTCCACATACACGAGGCACGTACAAACACATATGAGGACAAACACACACACAAATAAGATTTGAAAAAAAAAATTGGAACTTGGGGTGGTGGTGCACAGCTTTAATCTGAGCACCCTGGAGGAAAGGGAGTGCTAACCTAGTCTATATAGTAAGTTCCAGGCAAACCAATGTAACATAATAAGATGCTGTCTCAGTACAAACAAAACAAAAAAACAAATAAAAGAAATATAGAACTCACAGCCAGTCAGTAACAGTTCTTCACAAGGAAAGGCCTGCATAGTGTGTGTGCGTGTCCATGTTACATGGTACATGCAAGTACATGTTGTATGCACTTGTGTGTGCATGCATGTGTGGAGGCTGGTGGTTAATGTCAGGTAAGTTCCTTTGTTGCTCTTTACCATATTTTTTGAGATAGCATCCCTCTCATCAAACCTGGAGCTTGCCATATTGGTTAGACTGCCTGAACCACAAGCCCCTGGAGTCCCTATCTCCATATTGTTGGTGCTGGAGGTCCAGATGTGCACAGCCACACCTTGATTATACATGGATGTTGGGGATCCAAACTCAGGTCCTGATGCTTGTCTAGTGGAACACTTTATCTACTGAGCAGTCATCCCAGCCCCAAGGCCTGTATTTTTCTTACAGGCATTTTATATGGAATTAAATCACATTAGTCAGTATCTCTTACTGTGATAGAGACCATGACCAAAAGCAACCTTTCGAGGAAGGGGGGTTTAAATTGACTTATAGTTTATAGTTCACCGTGAAGGGAAGTCAGGGCAGAAAATTCAAGGCAGAAACCTGGAGGCAAGAACTGAAGCACGTCCATGGAGGGACTCTGTTCCCTGACTTGCTCAACCTGCTTTCTTATATAACCCAGAATCACCTCCTCAAGGGTGTCTGTAGTGGGCTGGGCCCTCCCATATCAATTACTAACCAAGAAAACATCCCACAGAATTGCCTACAGGCCAATCTGATGAAGGCATTTTTCCATTTGAAGATCTGGCTTCCCAGGTGGCCATGGCCTTCATCAAGGTGACAAGAAATATCACAAATGCTGTCCATTACCTCACCTGTGATCTTTTAACAAATGGTCATGTGAAGACCCATTCCTGCAGACTCAAAATGTACATTTTAAGAAGATCCCCATGATATCCATACTCTGAAGTGGAGAGAATAGTTATGGTTTTTAAAGTTTGGGTGTAGCAAATGCATTTTTATTCTTTCAAATTTGGAAGTTTTCATTTACCAGATAATTTTACCAATTAACAGCTCCCAAAAAAGAAAACAGGCATAAATGGTAAAACTCTATTTCCTAAAATTTGTTTCCTTTATGCACATGTGTGTCTGTGCATGAGGATGTGCACGGCCATGTGTATGATAGTGCCTGACAGTGTGAATGCATGTGGAGGTCAGAGGACATTCTTAGATCTCATCCCCAGGAGCACGTTACTCAAGATATGGAGTCTCACTGGCTTGGATCTCATCAATTAAACTAGACTGTCTGGCCTGCATGCCCCAGGAATCCTCTTGCCTTCCCAAGGGCTGGGATTACAGGAATGAGCTATCATCCAGGAATTTTTATATGGGTTGTAGGGATAAAACTCAAGCCCTCGCGTTTGTAAGACCAGAGTTTTACCAACTGAGATATTTTTCCAGGCTTGAAAACTCCTTTCTGAATTTTTATTCAAATGAAACTCTAATAACTGTTGCTTTAAATGTCAAAACATGGGCCAAGGCTTTAGCTCAGAGGTAGAGCCTAGTGCGTGTGAGGACCCAGGTTCAATCCCCAGCACTGGAAAAAAAAGTCAAATCATGAGAGATAAAAAGGCTGAACAAAGGTTTTTAATAGCACTTTACCCTGAAAATGTCAAAGAAAAGAACTCACCTTTTTAACTTTGGCCTCTGGGAAGTTGACTGCAATGTGGGATTTGAAAACCCTGTGCTTTTACTAGCTGGGATGGCATTTTTTTTTTTTTTTGCATTAACAACCTGAATAGAGTGGACACGGAATGACTTGGGGCTCTTCCTCTTTGCTTTCCGTTCTTCCATTGTCTTAAATTCTTCCTTGCATCAATACCAGCTTCATAAGACCTAAATATGAAAACACGGTGAGTACAGCCATATGCTATAAAGATGTAAACTGAGAGTCAAAGGCACATTCCACAGACCAAACGAACAGGAATTGAAGTCATTATGTTGAATCTACTTTGCTAATGTACACAAACAACTGTCTAATAACTTTTTTAAAACATTTATTTATTTACTTTATGTATGTGAGTATAATGTTGCTGTCTTCAGACAGACCAGAAGAGGGCATCAGATCCCATTACAGATGTTGTGAGCCACCATGTGGTTGTTAGAAATTGAACTCAGGACCTGTGGAAGAGCCGCTAGTGCTCTTAACTACTGAGCCATCTCTCCAGCCCTAATAATTTTTAAAAGCATTTTCTCTATTCACACATCTTCTAAGTATCTATTGTCTTTCTTCCACAAGCCAGGCACTGCTGTCAGTCCTAGGAAAGCAGAATTGAATGAGATAAAGCCCTTAACCTCAAGAAGCCACTGTTCTATAAGTGAGCAATATAAACAAATCACCCATGTAACAGTCCAACCTTGCTGGAGCTTTAGTTGGCTTCTAAACCTTCGAAACCAGATTCACATACGTGTACATCAGGGTATCAGTAGTCTAAGCTGCACCTTGAAGGTTTATGTAAGATACATTCTATTGGTATGCTATACACCACCACTCCCATATCTATTTTCCTTCCTTCCTTCCTTCCTTCCTTCCTTCCTTCCTTCCTTCCTTCCTTTTGTTTTTGTTTTTTGATACAGGGTTTCTCTATATAGCCCTGGCTGTCCTGGAACTCACTCTGTAGACCAGGCTGGCCTTGAACTCAGAAATCCACCTGCCTCTGCCTCCCAAGTGCTGGGATTAAAGGCATGCGACACCACTGCCTGGCCCTTCCTTTCTTTCTTGACAAGGTGTCACTATGTAGCTTTGGCTGACATGGAAGTTGCTCTGTAGACCTCACAAAGACTCACCTGCCTCTGTCTCCTGCATGATTAAAAGCATAAATCCCTCCTGGGATTAAAGGCATCAAAAGTGTGCACCACCTCACCTTTTCTTTTTGAAAAGCAGTTTTTCTCTCTGTCTTTGGCTGGCTGAGAAATTACTATGTGAGCCATGCTGGCCTCCAATGATGATATTTCTCCCTCTGCTCTTAAGTCCTAGGATGATGGGCATGTGCCACAAGATTAGATTTGATTTTTTCTTAATTCTGTTATTAATTTATCACAAAAAAGTGTCAGAAAAAAATCCATACCTATTCCTCTCTTCAAATTGTTAAATGCATTCTGAATATCGGGTCTTTTAAACAATACTGTGGGGCTGAAGAGATGGCTCTGCAGCTAAGAGCACTGGCTACTCTTTTCAGAGGTCTGTTTTGATTTCCAAGCCCAACAAGGCTGCTTACAACAGTAACTTCTGTCGAAAGGCATCCAGTGCCCTCTTCTGGCCTCCAAGGGCACAGTATGCACCACTACACAGTCATCTAATAAAATTTAAATTTTTAAAGTATTGAATTTAGTCCTACCATGACTATTTTGAAATGGATTACTACTGTCCTGAAAGAATTAGTTGGGAATTATAAAGATAATGTCAGGCTTTTGTTTTGTTGCTAACAGAGTAGGGTTTTCTTGGAAAAGGGTATGACGTTTGGTCTCTAATCTCAGATACCAATAGTGAATCCACTTGAGTCATTTGGGAATTGTTTAGATGTAATACAGATTAAATAAAACTTTAGAGATGACTGAGTAGGTTTCTAAGAGATGAGGATCTATGTAATTGATGATACACATAAGCACACTAACCTTTAAATCTATGGATGCTAATACACATTTGGTAACAAAACGGAAAAAAAGCAAAACGGAAAAAAGCTTCTCTGAAAAGAGTAGCCAGTGCTCTTAGCTGCAGAGCCACCTCTTCAGCCCCACAGTATTGTTTAAAACATGAAGCATCGCCAATAAACCAATGATCTCTGAAGGAGCAAGCTTGCGATTTTTCTCTTGTCCTGAAGATAACATCTGTCACAAGACCCTAAAATCCTTTCTGTATGACGAGGGACCTTTCCAGAGAGGACGAACTGCTCACAGTTGAAAGTCAGGCCTTGCTTCCAACCAGAATCACCGAAGGGGCCTCTGGACTTCACCTCATTCCCTTCCGCAACCCAGCCCCGCGATGACCCATCTATACCCAGCAGTGACCAGAGCAAGTGCTGACGGGCTCGAAAGAGCAGGTTGCGGGGTCCCCTCATCCCATTACATACCGGAGGAAGAAAGGGCGGTGGTTACCCTTCCTCTGCTGTAAAAGGTCAGAGAGCGTTCAAAGCCTCTGCCATGGCTGCAGCAAGACCGGACATCAGCCTGAGTCACAAACCCGGGGCAAGCGCCCTTTGTTTACGGAAATGATGTACTCGGGGCGGGTCCCTCTGTGAGGCGCAAAGTCCCGCCTTTTCCAGGTCCCTTAGCGGTGGTCTATTCCCTGCTTTGGGTTCCGTGCTCCCATAGCCGCCTTCAGGTATGGCTCTAGAGACAGCAGGAAAGAAAAGTTGTTGTTGGCCACTCCAATTCTGCCTCTGCAATGGCCTCACGGTAACTGGCAGTATATTGTTCTCACCGAAAGCGGCCAGCCACCTCGTTGAAGGACCGCCCCCCATGCACTGCAATTCCCAGCATGCCTTTCGAACAAATCTGAAGGCGGAGCCTACTGTCACCCTAGCAGCGGATCCACATCTCGGATTGGCTGCCTTTGAGAACCGGTGTTGGTTCAGCTACTCTGATGCTGAGTGTGATTCTGTAAATAGCCAGTGTCCAAACATTGCATTTAGGTGGGTGGGGGAGTGAGTTCGTTTAGGTTTTAAGTGTGCCTATCAGTCTGTCTTCGTTTTCTTTTCGTTTTTCTTTTCTCTCTCTCTCTCTCTCTCTCTCTCTCTCTCTCTTTCTTTCTTTCATTCTTTCTTTTTTTTTTTTGACAGAGTCTCGTGTAGACCGCGTTGCTCAGGAACTGGTTATGTTATTGAGATCTTACTGCCTGCACTTCCTGCCTATGCTGGGATTACAGGTATGTGCCACCCGTCCCGCTTTACCTCACGACAGTCCTTTAAGGTAACATCATAATCCCCATCTTAGAAATGAATCTGAGATTCAGAAAGGCTAATCAATCTTGTTGTCTGACTCCCCACTTCATCCCTGGGAGAAGGAATTGAGAGTTGAGAGAGAAGGCTCAATCTTCAACTAAAGAAAACTTTTCTTTCCTTAGTGTGGATGGCCTTCTTAGAGTGGAGATAGGAAATTTTGGATCCCGAGCCTCTTAGACTGAATCAGCTCTGTCCTTCAGTCTCCCTATTACCTAGGAAGGGAATAATTGTGTCTAGAGATTATGCCAGTGACGTTACTAAGTACCTAAGTGCTATGATATGTTCTTCCATTAGGAAAAAACAAAACCAAAAACCTGGAATTCTTTTTAAACACACACACACACACACACACACACACACACACACACACGGAGGGGGGGCGGGGAGAGAGAAAGAGAGAGAGAGAGAGAGCGCGCGCGCGCGCATTTATGGCCCCAGTTTTCAAAGTGAACACATGTTATATTTCATAATTTGCTATTTTTAGGTTAAAGAGCTAGAACTTAAGAAAAGGCAGACTCTCCTGTTCTCATCCTCTTTGGTTATCTTACTACAGACCTCCAGGGTCACTAGGAAATGGAGCTTGCTAATTTAGGTGTCTATACTTAAACTGTTACTATGTAACATAAATATCAAGTGGCTTTTGGGATCTTTGAATGGTATTGTATTTTGTAAATTGATCTGCAGCTTGGTTTTTACACATCCCCACACACACCCCGCTTCAGATCTGTCTGTATTGGTAGGCACTGCTGCATAGCCTTTGTTTTAATGCTGTGGTACTACAAACTGTTTGAAATTCCTGTAGTGGTGACTGTTGAGGTTTTCCCCATTATCACAGTTACAAGCCATGCATATAGATACAATCCTCTCATCTTTCTCAGGGTCTACAGAAGTCCAGGGAAGAGAGCTGGGCTCAACAACTGTGCGGTCTGAGGAACAAGAGGGGAATATGTGTCAATTAGGTAGTCTACACACTGAATAGGATCACAGGAGACAGGATATCCACAGTGAATGGGAAAATACAAACCATCTTACTCTTTCAACCATATAATGGTAGGTTTTAATTTTTTTTAAGACAGTCTTGCTATGTAGATTTAGTTGTTAAGTATGTAGAACACGATGGCCTTCAACTAAAGGTTAATCTCCTGCCTCTGCCTCTTGAGTTCTGGGGATTACAAGTGTGCCATCCTGTGATTTAGATTCAACTGTGTATTTGCATCTTAGATTTCTGGGATTATACCTGCCTCTCTCTTACTAAACTCTTAGTTCCTTAAAGAAGGATCTGGGTCTTACTGTCTTTATATTCATCAATGCCAGCATAGTGTCCACAGCATAGTAAAAGCTAAGAGAGAAAGTTTAGTCAATATGAACCAACTAGGGGAAATTAAACTCCCAAACCCCAAGTAGAAATGTGTGGTGGTCAAAGCAGGTATTCCTGTAATTCCAGTTTCAGTTAGAAAGCACGTTGCTCTTCTGATCTCCAGGTGGCAGTATTTTTTCATAATTAAATTGGTTTTGACAAACTAGATTTCACTAACTTTCTGACCAAATAAGCACATTTAAAATACAAATGTAGTTGTCATCTATTTCTATAATTGTACTGAGGAAGCTAAGTAATAAAATTATGTAAAATAAGTTTCATAATTACATTAGATTATTGATTTCTTCCTCAGTTTCAATGCAAATGAGAATTCTTGGTGATTCTTGGAGCTTCCAGAAACTTGAGAGAGTATGTGACAAGTTGGTGTACTGTTTTTCCTTCAAAGCACAAAAATCTAGGAGTGGGGGCTGTCTCAGCCTCTGTTCCCTGCTATTGGGTCCCCTTCCTCTACCTGAACCGCCTGGTTGGGCTTCAGAGGAAAAGGATGTGCCTAGTACTGCTGGGATTAGATATCCCAGGGTGCAGTGGTACCCAAGTGGGGTTTTCCCTTCTCTGAGGTGAAGGGGAGGGGATAATGGGGGCAGGCTATAAGGTCAGGACTGGGAGGAGAGGAGGGGCTTCGATCAGAATGTAACATAAATTTAAAAAATTATTGAAAAAAAGGAGTTAGGGAGAAAAGGCAGCAATATGTTCAGAAATAATTCATCTGACAAATGGGATGGCCAGACTAAATACAGTGGCCAGTACAATTTGAATTTTGAATAAGCAGGAATATTGTTCTGTCTTCTCAAATACTGCATTTGGTACACAGGAAAAAAAGTGCTCCAGTTAACTTGAAATTCAAATTTACTGGAAAGCTTGGATTTTTTTTTTTAAACTAAATCAGGTGATTGTACCAACAGTTTGTAATTGTTAATCCAGAGTAAACAAAACATGGGGCAAACATGCCACTTCTTTATTTGGAGAGAGAATAAAAAGGAAGGAGCTGGTGGGCTCAGCTTCCTTGATGTAAATCTGACTCTTGATCTCTGGGCTACCCCTGAGGCTACCTTCCATCAGTGGAGGACTTTTCTCTGGGAAAGTGAGTCCTCTAGCAAGTGAACACTGGCATGCCCAAAGCAGTTATTTTATATGAACAGTGTTTTATGACTTGAGTATATGGTTGAAAATGCCAAATGCTGGGGCTGATAGAATTTTGCATGTCTGAAGACCTGCTCTATTTTCTAAGCAACACACACTCATACTTGCACAGTGTGCACATGCTCAAGCACATGTTTGCACACACATGCTTACACACACATACAAACGTGCACACACACACTGAATAAGCAGTTGATTCTAGACTGCAGAGGAGCTAGATATCCAGCAAGGACAACAAATAGATGTTAATTTCTTATCAAAAGTTTAACAGATGACACCCCCTATGGTTCAAGTGAATTGTACTTTAGAATTATGTTTGTGGGGCCACAGAGGTAGCTTAACGGGTGGAGCCATTGCCCTGCATGTAATGAGTCCTTGGGCCCAATCTCCAAGCCATAAAACTGAAAAAGAGAAAGAAAGAAGTTCTGCACAGAAACAGTATCATGCCGGGTGGTGGCGCACGCCTTTAATCCCAGCACCTGGGAGGCGGAGGCAGGATTTCTGAGTTCAAGGCCAGCCTGGTTTACAGAGTGAGTTCCAGGACAGCCAGGGCTACACAGAGAAACCCTGTCTCGAAAAACAAAAAGAAAAAAAAAAAAAGAAAGAAACAGTATCAGTAGTGGTTAGGGCACAGGTTACTTTTAAGAGTCTACTTAATCATGTAGCTGAAGCACCATTTGCAACTTTAAGATATGCATTAAAAGAGACAAGTTATTGTAATAGCATTTTTAAAAGAAAAGTAAAAATTTTAAATTCTGAATACTCATGTTTGAGGAAGTATCTCTAACTTTTATTTATTTTGTTTTTGTGCCAAAAGACTCCTGAAGTGCTTGATTTAAACGAACTATTTTAATATTTATGACCTAAGAGATAGAGTATACTAAGATCCCTCTTGACAGATGAGACAACAAAAGCTAAATAGTGGCCTCGAGTCGCATAGGTAAGAAAGTAACCTGGGAATCGTATCTAGCCCTCAGCACCCTTCCCTGCACATTATGGGCCCAGGTAAGAGGAAGGAAGGAAGTGAACTGTGGAAGAAAAATCTGAAGGGGCCATGAAATCACCTTCCGAAACACTGGCCTGCATTCTTCTCTTGAGTCTAGAACAGTTCAAAATGAGTGGCCTTCTTTTCCTTAATTGAAGATGTTGTGAGTGCTGCTTTGTGCATACCCACTGCTTCAGATGTATTCACAGAATAAGGTGGCACAGAAAGTGACAAAGCTTTTTCTGAAGTGATGAGACTAGCTAGCAGAAGGTGGAAGAGGATTAAAGAGTGCTTGCCTGGGAGGGGATTCTGGGTGTAAATAGGTGGAGCTGAGGTCTGAAAAGAAAGGTGGTGGGTGTTGGGGCAGGATTTGACTTACTGTGTACAGTAAAAGGAAAGGAGAAATGGGTGGGACAGGCCACAGACCTTTGTTTTTAACTAGTCTGGATGTGAGATAGCCCAAGATACCACCATTATGACAATGGTGGACTCACTCAAGGCTACCTAAGGTGACAGTCCTTTGTCTTTACCTGTTCCTTTCTCTCCCTTTCCTCTTCTGGAACAAATATGTGTGAGATAGTGAGGGTCAAAGGGAACAGTAAGGTGCAGTGTCTAACACAGTGCCAGCACTTGGGAGGTAAAGGCAGGAAGGTCAGGAGTTGACAGCCAGCCTTAACAGCACAGTAAATTCAAGGCCAGCCTGGGCTACGTGAAACGCTATATTTAAAACAAAAAAAGCAAACAATAATTACACAAGAAAGAGAAGAGGGACTTCTCTTTAGAGAGAAGAGTTCTGTCCATGCTGCTTTCTAAACTGGAGAGAGTGGGGATTTTAGATATGTGACTTTAGGCATAGGCCAGAGAGTGCTTGGATGCACTCTGGAACTGAAGGAGGATGCCCATGTGGCCTTTTTGTGGCCAATGAAGCCTGCTTGTGTCTTCTAGAAAATTTTTTTAAAATACTAGGCATAAAGGCCTGAGTTTGTATAGCTGCACAGTTAGACTAGCTAAGCATGCCTAGGGCTGACTTGGTCTGTGTGAGTCAGCAGCACTCATCTCTGGCTTCAACAGGCTGGGATTCACAGACAGCAGCTCTTGATAGAGGTAAGCACTTTGATCTAATTGACTCTCTACTTTGTATAGTGTAATACTTAGAGTTAAGTGCTCAGGGGCAGAGGAGGACTGCTTGCTGGTGATCTGACTTCTTGGTGCCTTTTCTTTCTTGGGGGTTGTGTGACACAGGAGACATAGTCAATGGGAGCTCATAACCTAGCAAGAGAGACAGGTTTGTCACAAACAATTATAGGGTGGGTGGAGTCACAGAGATGAATGGAATAAAGTACTTTGATTGCATGAAGAAGGCAATGCAGAGGAGTGGAGAATGACCACATAGAAATTGAAGCTAACCAACAATCGACATACATATCAAAAGACACATCTATGTGTGTATTTCTGTCCAGGGGCCTAAGAATGATGTTCAGTCCCCAGCACTGCATAAACTGGGCATGGTAGAGAACCTCCATATTCCCGAATAACCTTCTTCACAACTTCCCCAAATCCCAGCATGGTTAAGAAATTTTATTTATATTTATATTTATATTTGTGTTTATGTTTATATTTATGGTGTTAAGGGTGGAAACCAGGGCCTCTGTACATGGTAGGTAAGTCCTGTGACACTGAGACACATCCTCAGATCAAGGGTGGACATGAGGGTGGTTTGGAGGGAGTGTGCACATGCGTGTGTATGTGTGTATGTGGAGCTTAGATATTGATGTCTGGATAAGCTAAAATGTACATCTCTCATTGATCCTGAGACTTGCTGATTTAATATGACTAGATGGCCAGGAAATCCCAGGGATCCCCCTGTCTCCATAGGGGTGTACTGTTGTGCCCAACTTTTTATGTGGGTTCTGGGAAGCAAACTGATCTCCTCATGCTCACACATCAAGCACTTTGCCCTGAGCCATCTGCCCAGCCCAAGGCTAGGATCTGTCTACTAAACACTGCCTACTGCAAGTGCTCACCTCTGGTGTTGCAGTCAAAACTAAATCATTATTGAAGTAATTCTGTAATTTAAATGAGAATTTTCTCTGTATATACTATAATAGCCCTTATGATTTATCTTAACTTCTTTTTGTAAGTTGAAGAAATAATTGCATGTATGTGTGTGTGCATGTGGGTGTATGTGTGGTATTCTATGTTATATGTGTGTGATATTTAAGTATCGAGTATATAAGCAGAACATCTATTTTCTTTCTCTACTTACTTCCTCCTTACTTGCTGCCTTATTCCTTTGACACAGGGTCTCCCACTGAGTCTGAAGCTCTCATTTTGACTCAGCTGGCAACAAAAATGTTGCCCACCTTTTTATATGGATGCTGGAGAATCAAACTCAGGTTAATGTGATTGATACCTTTAATCTCAGCACTTGGAAGATAGAAACAGATAGATCTCTGTGAATTTCTGGCCAGTCTGATCTACAGAGTGAATTCCAGGGCAATCAAAGTTACATAGTATGACCATGTCTTAAAAGGAACACATAATGAAATTGAATATTGGGGCTGGAGAAATAATAACTCAGTGGTCAAGAGTACTTGTTGCTCTTGCAGGGATCATGTACCCACATGGTAGTTCACAGTTTTCACTCACTGAGCTATGTTCACCAAAATGTAGTATTTACTTTAGAAAATATGGAAAACAAAAAGGAAATTAGAGGTGACCTGTTACAAGGGTAGCCAGTGCTTCCTGCTTTGATTCAGGCCTGTTCCACCGGGTCTAATTCTGTAAATGTAGTTAAAAGCTTATAGGTGAGGATATCATAGGCACTAAGGGAGAACCTCCTGTTGTTGTATTGGCTAAGTGGTCATGTTGTCTAATTAGCTTCTCAGTATTTATGTTTATCCTCATAGGTTTGTGTTGCTCTCAAACTTGGTCAGAGAAGCTTCTTCTGGAGGTGGATTCATAGCTAATCAATGTGCCAAGAGTAAGTAATTATGAGTGTTCAGTCGTTCATGGCTCACCCGTGTCAACCTTTACCTACCCCAAGGCTCAAAGAGCATCAAAAAACCGAGGAGATAAAAAGAATGCAAGAGGATGGGTAGGAAAGCCATTGCACCCATGAACCTGGAGCTGTGGTTACCTGTGTACAACCAGACCAGCCAGAATTCCAGCATCAATAGGGCACTGGCTCTTGAGGCCCATACCCATAGCTGCATGGAGACTGGTAATTGAAGGCTGCTGAAGGAAAATCACTTTTCTTTAAACATTTGATGCTGGTAAGCTACCCAGATCCAAGTGAATGAACCCACAGCCATGACACATGAACAACACAATTGGACTCTGTAAGTTATTAAAAACAAAGGACATGAATTTGGCAGGGAACATGTTAGGGTTCTCAAAGGGGAGCTAGAGGAAGGTAGTAAGGGGTGGATATGGTCAAAATACACTATATTATTGTAAGTAGTATATATCACACATACATGCATATTTTTTTCAAAGAATAAAAATCATGGTACTCAGCAGAAAGGAAAGAGAAAAGATAGGCCTGGATTCAAAAGTGATTGTGTGATATGACAAGAGTCCATACCATGGAGAAGGGAGGGTGTCCCCATCATAGTGCAATTGTACCTTTCTTGGCCAATATCCTCTATGTATTATGTAATATGAAGGTGTGTCTCTACCAGTGTGAGTTTCAGACCAGGGAAGAAATCTACACTAGCCTGAAAGAGAGTGAACAGGATCTTGCCATTTCCCTTGAAACAAGCAAGAACAATTGATAGGGATTTGCCTTAGTAGTGAGAAGAAGAGGGTCAGTTTGTATTTCCTTCAGGCTAGAATACCAGAATGCCACACGCATCTGCATTTAAGAGCCTTAGGAATGGTTAAGTATATGATTGCAGGTCTTTTTCTCACAGTCAATACCATCTTTTATTTGTGACTTTGTGTGTGTGTGTGTGTGTGTGTGTACACCAGAGAATGTGTGTGAGACTTAGTGCACCTGCCACTGTATGTAGAGGTTAGAGAACAGCCACAGATGTCAGTTCTGGCTTTCCATCTTGTTAGAGGGAGGACCCTATTTTGTTTGGTTCTTGCTGTGGCACTGTCTGTCCCAGGCCATCTAGATGGCACCTCTTCAGGATTCCTCCTTTCTCTACCCTCAGTCTCACTGCGATTACTATGTCTGGGTTCTGAGGATTCAGACTCTGGGCTTCATCCTTTTGTGGCAAGTACTTTACTCACTGAGCAATCCTGTGGCTTGACTTATCAGTTACAGCTGTCAGGTTTTTAACTTCTTTTAATATTCATCTCCAATATTTTATTTGCATCCCTTCTTATAAAACCTTGACTTTATCCCCACCCCAAATCTTTGTGTCATATAAATGACAAAATGATTCTACAAAAATCAAAGCAATCGCTGGGCAGTGGTGGTGCATGCCTTTAATCTTGGGAGGCAGAGGCAGGCAGATTTCTGAGTTTGAGGCCAGCCTGGCCTCTATAGAGTGAGTTCCAGGACAGCCAGGGCTACACAGAGAAACCCTGTCTCGAAAAACCCAAAAAAAAAAAAAAAAAATCAAAGTAATCAACTTCATTTTTTAGTTTGTCTCTGGAGGAAGACACTACAAAGCAAAGTATGTTTTTAAGATTCATGCTTTCAGTTTTGTTTTCCAGTTTTAAAAGATTAACTCATTTAATAAGGACCACAGAAAGGATATGTTCTTGGAGGTCTGATGACAATTTAGTAGATTTCTGAATTTGTTAAATTTTCTCTTTTCAGTGGGATATATTCTTGAGGTAATGCTACTTAGAATATCTGCATCTAAGAATTTCCATATGTTCTTCACAGAGGCTCAACATCCTGCCAGTCCTCCCTGCAGTTCTCCCTGGAGAGTAAGTATGTGCAGTCTGTTCTGACAAAGACTGGGCCCCAAGTTGTAAGAAAAGTTTCACTTCCTGCCAAGTAAAATAACCTTTCCCACAAATTGAGCAACATAATAAAAGGGAATGAGAGATCACAGCATAGATGAGAACACCAGGAAGAGAGACTGGTTTCTGCAGTCAGAGTGCTATAGTGTCACAATTAATGCTGTAGCTTAGGCCATCCTTACAGTCTATAATACTGCTCTTAATGGTTAATATGGACAAAAGGAAATAATTGGTACTGTTTTAATAGCCAAAAGAGAAAGTTTACAGGGGTGGTGATAAAATATTGAAGCAAATATTTTATAGTGAAGCAAGCCATTGTTTTTGTTACTTGATTTGTCATCAAATTTCATTTCTGTATGTGTGAGCTAAAAGCATTTAAGTTGAAGTGATGTCTTCAGGCTTTTCCTCCTGTTTTTAATAATTTTTCATTTTGTCTTAGTTTGATTACTTGGACATTATTCAGTCATTATTAAAATATTTCTGGCACTGGGATGTATCTTAGTTGGAGGGTGCTTGTATAATATACACAAGACCTTGGGGTTTATCCCTGCATAAACAAAGAGTGGTGGTAAACACCTAAAATCCCAGCATTCAGGTCAGGCAGTGGTGGTGTATGCCTTTAATCCCAGCACTTGGAAGGCAGAGTCAGGGAGATTTCTGAGTTTGAGGCCAGCCTAGTCTACAGAGTAAGTTACAGGACAGCCAGGGCTACACAGAGAAACCCTGTCTCGAAAAACCAAAAGAAAAAAAAATCCCAGCACTCAGGAGGTAGATGCAGGAGGATCAGAAGTTCAAGGTTATTCTCTGCCACATTATGAGTTCAAGACCAGTCTGGGATGTATGAGACTTTCTTTAAAAAAAAATTGTATCAATAGTATACATGAGGCTCTGAGGCTCTGTGTTCAATACAGGTACACACATATGTACACACACACACTCATTATGTCACTGAGAAAGGCAATGACTTCTGAAGATAAATTATCTTCCAACAACACTTTTTTTTTTATTGCTGTGAGTGAATTTTATTTATTGTCCAGCCAGCTGTGCTTTGGCAACCTTACTGTTAACTCTAGTAATCAAGAAGGTAGAATTATGTCACGAGGAAGAGAGGGCAAATTAGCAGAAGACAGGCCTGAATGAGAAAATTAAATAGTATTTAAATAATCAAAACATTTCCAGAGACTATAACAGGAAGGGGATCTGAGTTGAGTTCCAAGGGTAGCTTCTTGCTGTCCTATCTTGGAAAGATCAGATCTGATAAGGAGTCTGGACGGCTTCTTGACAATCGGAGGCAAGTGACTAGGATGCTCACCGCCACTGTCCGCCAGAGTTTTGGTGTTCAGTAGTTAGCTATTAGTCGTCAGGCATTTGAATAAGATGAGCATATTAATTGGCTGTCAGTACTTCGCTCAGAAAGTTAAAGTCATTAGAATAACAGGAGTGTTATAGCTTATTAAGCTTTTCTTATACAAAGTCAGGCATAGCATTCCAAATAAAATACTTCAGCAAATGGATTTCTCCAGACTTCATGAACTTCTTGGCATGCAGACTGGTTTCAGCCTAGTCAAATGTTTGATGTGCTGAGTGAGCCTGATGGTTCAGGCCTGTAATCTCAGGTCCTCTGGAGGCTAAGTCAGGATGAGCACAAATTGAGGGCTGGCCTGGGCTAATAGGATGAGTTCAAGGTCAATCTGAACATCTTAGTGACACTCTGTTCCAAAATGAAAAAAAAAAATTAGAACAAGTCATTTACAGAGGAGAAAAAAAATGATCAGTAAACACACAGAAAAATGTTTACACACTCATTAGAAATCAGATAATAAAAGTTAGAACTAAGCCCAGTAAGATAGCTAGCAGGCAAAAGTAGTCACCACGAAGCCAGGTTGACCTGAGTTCAATCCTTAGAACCCACACTGTGGAAGGAGACTCCACCCTCCACCAGTGGATGTATATTCTTTCTCTCCTTCCCCCTACACCAATCACCAGAAAGTAATTTTAAAAAATAACTAAAGCAAAACACCCTGTCTTACCACAGATGACAGAGCTCTGTAAAGTATATCAACACCAGGTACCATCAAGATTCTGAACAGGAGGGAATACAAATCAAGAGTGTTCTGGGACGTTAGTAACAGCTAGGAAACTAAAGCTGTTCTTATCTTATGATCCAGGAGTTTTAATAAAAGGGAGCCAGGGATATATGCAGACATGTTCCCTGCACCACTGTAACAGTAAGAATTTGAGGCGCATGCATATGCTTAAGTGTAAAAATAGGCATGTGGGAAATACTCTGCTATATTCCAGTTCTGTTTAGGCCATCAGTGACCAAAACAAAAATGTCTGCTCTAAGGGAGACATTTGTAGAAGTGTTGAAATTTTTTGCTTTGAGACAAGGTTTCTCTATGTAGACCTGGCTGTCCTGGGTGGAAAAAAATTGTTTTTTTTAAATAAGAAAAGTATGGTATCTAAGACAGCGGTCCTCACCCTGTGGATTATAACCCCTTTGGGGTGATGGAACCAGGGTAGAATATCAGATATCCTACATATGAGATATTTACATTGTGATTCATAATAGTAACAAAATCACAGCTGTGAAGTAGCCACAAAAATAACTTTATGATTAGGAGTCAGCACAGCACTAGTAACTGTATTAAATGGTTGTAGCATTAAGAAGGTTGAGAACCACTGAGCCAAGAAAATATGTGGTAGCATAGGGTGAAGGAGAACGGGAGGGGCCTGTGGCTAGGAAATGAGACAGCTGAGCAAGCCATGAAAGTGGGAGAAAGCACGCTGGGAAAATAACTGGGGATGAGCATTGGAGGCACAGGAGGGGAGAGAGAGGGAGAGGACAGAGGAGAGAGAAGAATGAATGGGGTGGTCCTGGCATGGCCGAGAACCATGGTGAACTATGGCAGGGGGAGATAGCTATAGCTGGGTTGGCCTGAGCCCACCTTGAAGTCCACTACTTGAATCCTTAGAGCACTCAATAGAATAGGTATTAGGCACCATTGTAAACTAACTTACCTCCTTCTTTTGCCTCCTCTTTTGTAACCCAGGCTGGCCTTGAAACTGTGCCGGGATTATAGGAATGAGCTACCTCATCCTGCTTCATTATCAACTTTCTACATAAAGTCATTTAATGTCCTCAGTTGTCTCACAGAGGCAGTCATATCTAGATCCATTTCATAGATAAGGAAACTGAGTAGCAGACAGGGTAACTGGTTCTAGAGTGGTTAATTGTGCGTCAATTCAAACCTAGACTGAGTCCAGCCCACTCTTAGTGACTGGATTGCTAACTCTTGAGTTTGTTCTCTCAGGGTACTCCCCTAATTAATGTCTGACATCTTCCCACCACTGCAGGCTGGACTGTGGGTCACCTGCTGGCTGAGGCCATTGTTATCTCATGGAATTTGGAATCTGGGAAGAGTTTGCTGGGAGGTGTCCGAGTTCCTAGCCTCCTCCGCATTCCCCTCCCAAACAGTGGTTTAGCAGGTGCAGGTTGTGCAGGTCTATGCAAATTTTTCTGGTGAAGAGTTGGAGCCATTTCACAAGGGTATTTGTTTTACTTTATCTTGTTGTATCAAGTTTTACTTTATCTTGTCTTTCAAAAGAGAAGGAAAGCAAATGAGGAGGTAGACCCTGGTGAGACAGTCCCTTGGAGCACCCTCCTATCAGGAGACTGGCAAGGCTCCTCTGGGGCCAGCATGATGACTCAGTGGGTAAAGGCCCCAGAATAGAGATGGTGGAAGAGAGACCTGACTCCCACGTGTATCCTGTGGTAAGTGCACTCCCTCCTCAGACAGTAAGTAAATAAATACATAAGCATAAATAATTCAAAATGTTTTGTCCATACACCTTCTAGGAAACTTCCTCCTGAGTCAACTAATCGTCTCCTGAGTCTCCTGGTGGAACTTCAAACCTAGGGCCTTTTAATCCAATAGCTTCCTTCTGTTAATTATATTTCTACTATAAATCATATATATGTATGCTTGGGTTTTTTGTTTTGTTTTGTTTTTTGCCTGGTTAGTTGGTATGGTTCTTTATTGCTTTTTGAGAGGATCTCCTGTAACCCAGGCTTGTCTAAAACTTGCTGTGTAGCCAAGGATGACCTTGAACTTCTGATCTTTCTACTACTATCTTCTTCATGCTGGGATTAGACATGAGCTACCATGCTTCACATATGCAGAACTGGGGATTGAACCCTGGGCTCCGTGCATATTAAGTAAGTGGTCCGTCATTGGAGCTACATCCCCAGCTTCTAAACTAAACTTTCCAGACCATACATACCTATTCCTTATGTATCTGTGGCTAAAGGAAGAATTTTAAATGGCCCTTTTAGATTTCCTGAAGAGCAAAGCCCTGCTTAATTCAAAGTGCAGTTGAACAGCAGAAGCAGCAGGTTCAAAAGTGCTCAGAAGTGAGTGATTAAAACAAGAAGTAGATTGTGTTTCTGGAGTGTGCTATTGCACATGAAGGAGGCTTGGCCTCATTTCTCTTTTAAACACCAGAGAAACTTTGGCTCAACAGAGGTAGAGTAAGTGCTATAGCTTAAGAATAGAAGGGCATTTGTTGATTTGTTTTGTTCATTTGTTTTTAGGTCAGATCTCACAGACACTAAGTGTTTAGGTAAATGTAAAAAAAGAATGTTTAATTAATTAATTAAAAGAGTATCTGACCAGCCTTGAACTCAGAGATCTGTATACTTCTGCTTCCAAAGTGTTGGGATTAAAGGCACATACTGTTCTCCCTGGCTTTGAGTATTTTTTAACCATTGTACAGAATACATTTTCAAAGATGCAACATATGGGCACCATGCAGTAGGGACTAGCTGTACCTATGAGGTGTGGCTTTCTATCTGGCAACACTGGTTACCAAATGAAGAACTCCTGATCTGAGAGCTCGGCCCATAGTGTTGCTTTATACCAGTGAGAGGTCACAGTGCAGAGGAGAAGTGCTCCTTCTCATATAAGAAATAATCTTGCAAGTAATAACAACTTTGAATGGAGATATTTAATATTCAATAGTTTTTTCAATAAAATAAAAATTTAAATTTTCCTATGTGTAGAAGTGTTAAAAAATGGCAAAAATAAAATTGTGGGACTTCAGGTCTGGGCCCGAGCATAGAGCAGGTCACAGGCGGCGGCTCCATACCCAACCCCAGAAAACCAAGAGAAAGAGGGACTCCCAGGAGCTTTAACTCAGGCAGCATCCCAGGTAAGGAAAAAACAGCACTTGCCCCAAATAGGGAGCAACCGGGACCCACTGGGACCCAGGAATTCGCTCCTGGCCCGGAGCGTGGGCTCCATCCGGTCTGGGCCTGAGCACTCACAGATCCCAGGAGGCAGCTCTGCACCCAATCTCACAGAATCCAGAGGAAGCGGGGCTCTCAGGACCTCTATGCCAAGCAGTATCTTAGGCTAGGAGGTGGCAATACTTGCCCCCAAACAGGGAGCAACCGGGACCCACTGGGACCCAGGAATTCACTCCTGGCCCGGAGCGCGGGTTTCTTCCGGTCTGAGCCCGAGCACTTGACAGTTCCCGGGAGACAGCTCTGCACTCAATCTCACAGAACCTAGAGGAAGCGAGGCTCTCAGTAAATCTAACTCAAGCAGTATCTTAGGCTAGGAGGTGGCAATACTTTCCCCCAATCAGGGAGCAACCGGGACCCACTGGGACCCAGGAATCCACTCCTGACCTGGAGCCTGGGCCCCTTCTGGTTTCCACCTGAGCACAGAGCACATCTTGGGTCTCAGCTCTAACCCCAGCAGCAAAACCCATCCGAAACAGTTCTGACACAACCTAGATAATAGGAAAGACAGGCCCCAGTCAGAGACAGCACAGATTGCACAAAGGTGATCCAGATGGCAAAAGGCAAGCGCAAGAACATAAGCACCAGCAACCCAAGGTACTTGCCATCATCAGAACCTAGTTCTCCCACATTAGAAAGTCCTGAACTCCCCATTTCACCAGGAAAACAAGAACCAGATCTAAAATCACTTCTACTGATGATGCTAGAGGACTCTAAGAAGGAAGTAAATAACACTGTCAAAAAACTTGAGGAAAACAGGATGAAGCCCTTAAAGAAACACAAAAATCCTTTAAAGAATTACAAGAAAACACAAACAAACAGATCAAGGAATTGAACAAAACCATCCAGGACATAAAAATGGAAGTAGAAACAATAAAGAAATCACAAAGGGGGACTACCCTGGAGATAGAAAACCTAAGAAATAAATCAGGAGTCATAGACACAAGCATCACCAACAGAATACAAGAGATAGAAGAAAGAATCTCAGGTGCAGAAGATACCTTAGAAAATATTGACACAACTGTCAAAGAAAACGCAAAATGCAAAAAGTTCTTAACACAAAATATCCAGGAAATCCAGGACGCAATGAGAAGACCAAACCTAAGGATAACAGGTATAGATGAGAGTAAAGATTCCCAACTTAAAGGGCCAGTAAATATCTTCCACAAAATTATTGAGGAAAACTTCCCTAACCTAAGGAATGAGATGCCCATAACCACACAAGAAGCCTACAGAACACCAAACAGACTAGATCAAAAAAAGAAATACCTCCCATCACATAATAATCAAGACACAAAATGCACAAAACAAAGAATTTTAAAAGCAGTAAGGGAAAAAGGCCAAGTAACATATAAAGGCAAACGTATCAGAATTATACCTGACTTCTCACCAGATACTATAAAAGCCAGAAGATCCTGGACAAATATCATACAGACCCTAAGAGAACATAAATGACAACCCAAGCTACTTTACCCAGCAAAACTCTCAATTACCATAGACGGAGAAACTAAGATATTCCATGACAAAACCAAAATTACACAGTATCTTCCCACAAATCCAGCTCTACAAAGGATAATAGCAGGAAAGCTCCAATACAAGGAGGGCAATCATACCCTAGAAAGAGCAAGAAAATAATCCTTTTCCATCAAACCCAAAAGAAGATAACCACACAAACGATGTCTCCACTATTAGGAAAAATGACAGGAAGCAACAACACCCTCTCCTTAATATCTCTTAACATCAATGGACTCAATTCCCCCATAAAAAGGCATAGGCTAATGGACTGGATATGCAAACAGGACCCAGCTTTTTGCTGCTTACAGGAAACCCACCTTAGTGACAAAAACAGACACTACCTTAGAGTAAAAAGTTGGAAAACAATTTTTCAAGCAAATGGCCCTAAGAAACAAGCAGGAGTAGCCATTCTAATATCGAATAAAATCGACTTTCAACTTAAAGCTATCAAAAAGGATAAGGAAGGGCATTTCATACTTGTCAAAGGAAAGGTCAACCAACATGAACTCTCAATTCTGAATATCTATGCGCCAAATACAAGAGCATCGACTTTCATAAAAGAAACCTTAATAAAGCTCAAAACACACATTTCACCTCACAATAATAGTGGGAGACTTCAACACCCCACTCTCAGCAATGGATAGATCATGGAAACAGAAACTAAATAGAGATACTGTGAAACTAACAGAAGTTATGAACCAAATGGACTTAACAGATATCTATAGAACATTTCACCCTAAAGCAAAAGAATATAACTTTTTCTCAGCACCTCATGGTACCTTCTCCAAAATAGACCATATAATTGGGCAAAAGACAGGCCTCAACAGATATAAAAAAATTGAAATAATTCCCTGCATCCTATCAGATCACCATGGCCTAAGGTTGGTCTTCAAAAATGACAAAGACAATGGAAAGCCCACATTCACATGGAAACTGAACAACACCCTACTCCTTGATAATCAGGTAAGGGAAGAAATAAAGAAATTAAAAACTTCTTAGAATTTAATGAAAATGATGACACATCATACCAAAATCTATGGGATACAATGAAAGCAGTGCTAAGAGGAAAATTCATAGCTCTAAGTACCTACAAAAAGAAACTGGAGGGAGCATACACTAGCAGCTTGACAATGCACCTGTAAGACCTAGAACAAAAAGAAGCTAATACACCCAAGAGGAGTAGACGGCAGGAAATAATCAAACTCAGGGCTGAAATCAACCAAATAGAAACAAAAGGAACTATCCAAAGAATCAAAACCAGGAGCTGGTTCTTTGAGAAAATCAAGATAGATAAACCCTTAGCTAGACTAATCAGAGGGCAGAGAGACAGTATCCAAATTAATAAAATCAGAACTGAAAAGGGTGACATAACAACAGAAACTGAGGAAACTAAAAAAATTATCAGATCATACTACAAAAGCCTATATTCAACAAAATTGGAAAATTTGGATGAAATGGACAATTTTCTAGACAAATACCAGTTACCAATGTTAAATCAGGACCAGATAAACCATCTAAACAGTCCCATAACCCCAAAAGAAATAGAAGCAGTCATTAAAAGTCTCCCTACAAAGAAAAGTCCAGGACCAGACAGTTTTAGTGCAGAATTCTATCAAACCTTCAAGGAAGACCTAATTCCAATTCTTTTCAAACTATTCCACAAAATAGAAACAGAAGGTACACTACCCAATTCATTCTATGAAGCCACAATTACGCTCATACCTAAACCACACAAAGACCCAACAAATAAAGAGAACTTCAGGCCAATCTCCCTTATGAACATTGACGCAAAATTACTCAATAAAATTCTAGCGAACTGAATCCAAGAACACATCAAAACAATTATCCATCACAATCAAGTAGGCTTTATCCCAGGAATGCAGGGTTGGTTCAATATTCGGAAATCCATCAATGTAATCCATTATATAAACAAACTGAAAGAAAAAAACCACATGATCATATCACTAGATGCTGAGAAAGCATTTGACAAAATTGAACACCCCTTCATGATAAAAGTCTTGGAAAGGTCAGGAATTCAAGGTCCATACCTATACATAGTAAAAGCAATATACAGCAAACCAGTAGCCAGCATCAAACTAAATGGAGAGAAACTTGAAGCAATCCCACTAAAATCAGGGACTAGGCAAGGCTGCCCACTCTCCC